CCCCCCCCCCCCCCCCAAAAAAAAAAAAAAAAAAAACAAGTCTCTAATTATAGAGGTGGATTGTCAAGGGTATGGCAGAGAATAATCTAGTCCTTTAGATTTAATAATTCCTGATCAGTTTGATATTAAGTTTGAGTGGATGGATAATGCTGAAACCTCTGGATTCTACAGCCTTGAGGGATCACTTGCCTGTATTTCAGGCAATCATGTTATTCCAGAGAGTATTTGTGCTTGAGGTGCTGAATGCAGATGCTGCTGGTGGGTTCCTGACCTTGAGAGCCTACCATACCTGCCTCTGTACAGCAGTGTGCTCTGCCTGGCCATTTCAGTGCTGTTACAGAGGTAACAGGTCAGAGAGCTGGAGTGGAGAAAGTATTTGCTGATGTTGACTGTTTATGAAGAAAGTGCCTTGACTAAACTCTACTATAGTCTCCTGTTGGCTCTTTAGGTAGCAGTGGAGAAGACTCTCTGTGGAAGGGGTGCATGTGGTCTAGCTGGAGGGCTGAATGCAAGCTGTAACAGTGTAAAAAGCAGTCCCCTGGGCTGCAGGGCAAGGACAAATCTGCTGAACTACAGGTTTTCGTTGCTGGTGAACTCCAAGCGTTGCTTGTTTGTGTCCAGAAGGAAAACAAGTATGAGCAGATCCCTTGGGTGTGCTGGTGTACATCTGAGACTGCTTTTCTGGAAATTCAAGTGTAAATTAGATGCATTCCCTGGGCTCTTGGAGTATATCCAAAGTAGTACCAGTTATGTACATTGCATCTATGAATGTCAGTCCTCCCTTGTTTAGAGTTCAGCGGTCTAGTAGTACAGGTCAGGGTAGGCTGCTGTTGTTCCTCACTGTGCTTGCATGTTATCCCTTTTCCTTCCTATTCCATGGCCTAGCCAGAATTTCCTTGGAGTGCAGGAAGCCAGGAGATGGCTTTGAAGCACCGAGTGTGGGAGTGCTTGGAGTGCAGACAGGCGTGCTGGTGCTGGGGTTGAGGCTCACTGGCGTGCGTGGTAAGCTGCGTGCCAGGTTGCGTAAGGATGGCGTGTTCAATATGAAAGGCAGCTTTTGGAGTGTTTGCTTTAAAGTTTAGCGTGTTAAAGCCTGGGCTCTGTGTGGAGCTTAGTCCTGGCATGTGTGGCTTAAGCTAGGGTTAAAAGTGATACTTGTATGTAATGGAAAATGATCAGGAATTCCTGCAAAGCCAGGCATCTCGGGAGGCAGTCTGTTCTGCGCAGAGGGTGCTGGAGGGCCAAGGCCAGCAGTTGCCTTGCAGCAAGTCAGGGCACAGAGCGGTGTCCAGGCCCCCGTTGCTCTGACACTGTTCTGTGATGTGCTTTGCTTTTCATGCTTGCTTCAGCTGAAGATAAAATGCTGCATCTAGCTGGCTGTGAGCTGCTCATAACGACGAGTATAATACCAGGTTAAAGGGCACTTTCTGCTGCGCAGAGGTCCATCCTAAACAAGCTTTCTGTTTCAGACAGTGGCACTAGGAGACGCTATTTGAATGAGCAAATTTTGCATATTGAATACTTGATACTTAGTGAAGAGAATTGCATGGTAACTGTATTGCTCAAGTGGTTAGGTGCATGTCTGATGCCAGATAAGTTTGCTTTACTTGCATATTATTGGGATGATTGATTTGCAGAAGCACCTATAGTTTTAATGCATTGATTTTGACCGATTTCTAGACTGGTATTCTGGTACTGGGCTTGAGCACATGCAACTGGATAATGGGAAATCTCTCGCTTCACCAAAGCAGAAATGAGCTAGACAAGGTGAATAGATACTAGAAGACTAAAAACTTGTTTTGGGAATGACACTTTGTTTTGGCTTAAACAGAAGACTTTTGGGAATTGGTTCTGAACCTGTCCATGAATAAGCTGTTTAAAAATATGCTAGGTCCTGTGTTAGCTTTGGGAGAAATGCTGCCTCTCATTGTCAGTAGACTAAAATGAGCTTGCCTCACTCTCAACTTGTGCCAAAGTACTGTACGTTGATTACTTGGGTGTTCGTCTCATATGAATTAAGTCCCAAGTTTGTTATAACAATTTCTATTTAAATTACAATACAGTTCCTCTGTAACAGCTACCTTAACCCTCTGATCTGTTCTGAGGGCAGGTGGCAGCTTCTCTATCCAGCAGGTAACATCTCATTTATCTTTAACTCAAGTTGGGGGTGGAGTCCAGCATGCAATACTGTCTTCTGGTCTTTCCACAGATCAATTGGTATGTCATTGTTGCACCTGATTCAGGTATCTGAAATCTCTGATATTTGAATGTCCTTTAGTTGTGCCTGTCAGATTGTAAAAGTTCTGGTAAAGCGAAGAGTTCAATTCTTGTGCTTTTGCTGTATGCTCTCTCTGTTGTTCCTCTGCAGAATATTGTGTCAAAGAATGCTATGCAGTACCGTGGGAATGCCCAGCATGATGCGCAGGAGTTTCTGCTTTGGCTTTTAGACAGAGTTCATGAAGATCTAAACAATGTAGTGAAATACAGCGGCATGCCTCCTCTGAAGGTAAGGAATTTTACTCTGGGCCAACATGAAAAAGTAGTTGTGGGATTTATTTTTTTTTTTTTGACAGTCATTGTTTTTAAATTAAATCTCCCTATCGACCTCTCAACTGTGATAATTCAGGTGGAACAAAAGCTTGGGCTAAAACACTTTCTAGCCCTGTGAATGTAACTAGCCATTTCATTAATCCCTGGCAGGTGCTCCCCAGCACAATTGCTTGTGAATGGTCCTACACTGCTTTGCAGGAGCTGGCAAACATTACAGGGGAGTGACTGCCAGATATTTCATCTGGCATGAGATACCTGCTTTTTTTGGGTTGCCCTAGCTACATCACATTTCTACATAACCAGCTATGTGAGCAGAGAGCATTTGTTATTTAAAAACACTTGGACGTTTTTCTGGTGGTTTTGGTCAAGGAGGATACAAATTTGACTAGTAGTAGTGGAGCTATCCAGTGTGGTGTACCTACATATTTGGGTCTGCTTCTGGGATTTACTCTTTTCTTTTAGCCACCATTGGAGGACGATGTGCTGCTTGAGGGACCAGCCTTTCCAATCAGTAGCACTTTTGTGCAGGAACTCTTTCAAGCCCAGTACAGGTATGATACTCTGGGGTGTTGTTGTATGTATTGGTGACCCCAGCATAATTCCACCCTGGCAGTGGTTGGTGAGTCCTAGTAGTGCAGTGGTTGTATCTTCTAATTCCCCGCTAATAGTTCTCAGTACAGTTGAGACCAGTGTCATTATGTTGTCAACTGTTTCTAAATTTCTGCTGAAAGAACTCTGAACTAAAATCTTGCGCCAGAGGGGAGTGAGTTCTGCTATTTCAGATCTTGTATATTCAGGACAAATCTACAGTATGTGCTGCCACTTCATCTGCCCTGGCAGATCCTGAAAGCTCCCAGGGCAAATCAGTGCTTAATGGAGCAAAGATTCAGGACAACTCAACGTTCTGAGGTTTATCTTGGCTGTTCAGAGGCAGGACCCTGCAGGAAAGGCTGGCGATGCCTGGTGACTGCTGGGGAGTTGAGAATTGCAAGGACCTTGCAGTAGTTCTTGTTATTTAGCACAATGGGAATTCTGAATTGAATCCCTCACTGCTTCCTGAGAGCTTTTCCAGAGTTTTCCATACTTGGAAAGTAAGCTTTCTAATTCCAGAACTAATCGGGGAAAACAGCTTAACTTCAGTGTTCCTTGATGGATTGTGTCTGTCCTGCTATAGGAAGTTTAATTACTAGGCAGTGTTTGCCAAGGTTTCCTTTGTCAAATGAGAAACTTTAAGCCTGGTATAAAACCTGCACCTTACACTGGCTTAGTATTAATTATGAATGTAAGTTATGTGTGTCTTAGTTTTTTTCATCTCTGAATGAGAGATCTGTACATCTGTGGTACTGTCTGTTATCATCTCTTTCCCATCACTTCCCCCCCCCCCCTTCAAAGGGAGAACAGCACTGTCAGGTCTTTCGTGTTGGAGCTGATATTGGCAAATTATTAATTTTGCAGTGATGTTTATTGAAAGCCAAATGCGATGTCTGGAGTACAGCCTTTTTCCGGCATGCCCTGTAATGAACTCTGAGACTGATGACTTTGAAAGGATCTAGAAATTAGGGGCCCTTCATTTAGAGCAGCTATCTGTCTCTCCAGCCTCTGTGCAGAGCTACTTCATGTGGAAAAAGGGTGCGAGTAGAAAGAAGCAGCTGAGTTGACATGCAAAGGCTGTTGTTTGTGTTTTGATCGTTTATCTACTTCAGACAAAATGATGCATAACTTCTGTCCTGTTATTATTTCTAATAGATCCTCTCTGACATGCCCTCATTGCCAGAAGCAGAGCAACACCTTTGACCCTTTTCTCTGCATCTCTCTGCCAATTCCTTTGCCTCATACACGGTATGTAACTATGTCTCGAAGTTAACGTGTTGGCTGTTTCCCACATAGATGGTGGTGTGCAATTTAGTTCAAAAGGAAGAGATGTCAGTAAAATCTCTCTGGTAGTTCTTTAAAAATGATAGTGCTAGGTGGGACTTAACGTTTTTGCTTTGCAGGTAAATCAGAAAATTCAGCCCTTTATTGTTTCAGAATGTCCCACTACTCCTTCCTTTTCAAAGCTTCCTATAGAGTTAACTTATGGGAGGAAGAAGTCTTTTTTCCAGGTAATCAAAATATTTTGCTTTTGACTTAGTTTATAGCCTTTTAAAATTGAAAAGGAGAAAAAGAATGAAGCATTTCTTTTTCCATGGGAACAACCTTACTGATTACTTTGATTTTAAAAAGTGGAGTTAAAACTCTTGCTGCAAAATGTTTTGCTTTTGACAGATAGCTGTTTGCAATAAAGAAAAAAGCTCTAGAAAAAGTCTACATAATAATTCAAAACAAATGTAAGGAGACACTTATTTGTGCGATGTGTGATGAAAAGGATTTCCACAGCTTAACCTGATGTTATGAATGCTGAAAACTTCTATTGCTTCTTGAACCCACAGGATAAAGTAATGAAAGAAAATATTAAATATGACGATATTGCATCTAGTTCAGAAGTCCCTGTTCTACCAACAAGTGGAGGTTGAGAGGATGTGCCAGGAAGAGCATTCCCTGTAGGCCAGCTACACCATTATACTCTTCTCAAGGCTTTACTTTTGGTTGCTACTGGAGCCAGAATTTGATTTTGAGGCATAACCTGGAATAACTTTGCTCATGTTCCCAGTAGCTCTGAGAATGCTTTGCAGTGCTGCTTTGGGATCTCCTAAGCTGCATTATAGGATCCAAGTTGGAAAATTGATTGCCTTGTAATAGAATTTTATTTTTTTAACTCTGTGGGTTGAGAAGACTGTCTATGGGAACAAGCAACACTTTCATCAGTCCATATAGTAAGAAAAGAATCTTTCAAAATCGAAGGTAGTCATCCGACTGAGGCTGAGTAATTCCAGCGTTTGATTCTAGATTGCCCATTAGGGCCCTTTAGGTTATGAATTAGCCTGGATACAACCAGGACCTCTTCACTATAGAAGTTATCGTGGCCTAAAGTGAATTAATAACCTGATTAGAATAGAACTAAAAATGGGGCAACCAAATCGGAATTGGCCTGTCCACTATCTTAGGTCAGGTTGACTGTGTTCAAGGTACTGCAAAGAAAAGCTCAGCCCAAGCAGGTCTTCCCTGTGCTCTCTGCAGGCCTCTCTATGTCACCGTGGTGTACCAGGGGAAGTGCTCTCACTGCATGCGGATTGGGGTGGCAGTGCCTATCTCGGGAACAGTGGCTAGGCTGCGGGAAGCGGTCTCCTCAGAAACCAAGATACCCACTGAGCAGGTAACAGGCTGGTCTCATCCCCAAGTGCCCTTCCTTCAGGAGGAGTTCTAAAGCCTTCATCCAATATGCAAGCAGTATTGGATATGTAGAGAATGAAATCTCTTATCCACAACTGAATGGGGGAAATGGGATGGTAAGAATTCTTCCCCCTCCCTGTGCATTGACTTTTTGAAACTTGATGACATTAGGACGGCCGTTTGTAGAGCGTATAAACTTTCTGTGCAGCCCTGCCTGACAACCCTACAGTTCATGTGTGTTGGCACCTATGGGAAAGGCACAGGAATGCTTTTGTTTGAAAGGCTTGTAAGCTGTAGGATCCCATCAAAACCTCTTTGCATACTACCTTTACTGCTTTTCCTTTATTGTAGTCCTCTTCCCTGTTCCTCGCTACTGGCTGATACTAGAAAGTTTTGAGAAATGCCATCCTTTAGCAGGAAAACTTTCATCAAGAGATAGGGTAGCTCATCTGGAGCAGGCGTTGGTGGTTTTAATACGTTCTTGTTTGTTTATTCCGGCTCTAGATTGTGCTGACAGAGATGTACTACGATGGGTTCCATCGTTCCTTCTGTGATACTGATGACCTGGACACAATCCACGAAAGCGACTGTATTTTTGCCTTTGAGACTCCAGAGATATTTAGGCCTGAAGGGATCCTTAGTCAGAGAGGTAAGTAGGTAATTCTGCTTAATGCTCACATCAGGTGGGTGGATGAGGGGTACTTGTTTTGGAAGAGGATACTTGATAAGTCCCACAAGTAGATGGTGTCCTGATGTACTGACTTAAACTCTGAATTTGTCCAGACTCATTTCAGCAGCCTTAATGGTGGTGTCAGCTGGGAGGGTATCAGGAAGTAATGGGTACTGCTTTTTTCCTCTTCCTGGCCCTGATTGTCAGGGCAGGCTGGCTTAATTTGAAAACTCTTGTCAGGCTTAATTTGAAGGTCTGCTAGGGACCAGATCAAGCCACTGAAGTTGTTATTCGTCACTAGCAATCTGCTTTTAAATAATTAGTCTCAGAAATGAACAAACACTTTTTCCTTTAAAACTCACTCATCTTCTCCCTGTCCCCTTCTCAGTGACAGGGAGTGACTACAGTCTGTAGGATGAAGGTCCTGAGAGCTCTTGGATTTTGTCTTGGCTTTTCTGCAGTGACTGGTGATGTGGTACTGCTCCCTCTGAGCTCTCTGCTGCTAGGGTGCAGCAGGAGGAGTGAGAGGGGCTGCTGGGTTGGCTAGCACTTTCAGATGCACCGTTTGGCAGTAGCTCACACTAACTAGAAGAAGCAATATTTAGAGCTGGGTAGACAGAAGATAATCAAAGACAAATTTTATTATTGAATGTTACAAGCAGAGTTTTTATCACTAGCTTTCTTTGCATGCAGACAAGCTACGAGTACTTGTACAAATTACTGTGAAATATCAGTGAGATGAGCACTTGTATACAACTTTTTTCTGTAAAGAAATAGTCACTGTGAAGAGTAACTGCTTTGCAAAGTCTTTGTGCGAGTCTTTTTTTTTTTTTAAAAAAAAAAAAAAGATTCAGTCAGTCTTGATTGCTGAACTGCTCCTCTGAGGCTGAAGGAATGTTTCTTGAGGGGGGCCTCTGTTAATGGAGACGTCAGGGCACTAATGGCAAATGATAAAACATAAAATATTTCCTTTCTCCTAACTTTTCAGGAATACATGTAAACAATAACCTGAATAACTTGAAATATGGCACTGAGCAATCCCGAACAATATCTTACTCACAAGGAACAGCAAAATCTGGAAAACTGGAACAGTCCTCTACTAGACAAGCAGCAAATGATAAGATTGTATTGCTAGTGTGTAACAGAGCATGCACTGGACAACAAAGCAAAAGGTGACTGGTGACTTCGTGGTTAGATTTATTGTTTTGCCTGCTTCATTAATTGATCTGATATTTACTCGCCATATAGTGAAAAGCCAATGTGAAGGGATCACAATGTGCATTCCTATCTTGCATTAGACGATAAAGAATATGTTAATCAAAAAACATTAAGTGCAGCAAAATATTCCTAGTTTTGCTGGACTTCAAACACTGCATTGTTTTTTGGAAAGTGTTGACTGTCCGTCAGATGGCCAACATTCACCTTCTGTAAAGAGCTGTCCCGTTTCAGAGAGCAGCAATGTCACCTGACCAAATTGTGTGGTATGTAGAATTTTTGGTTGGAGCACAGGTAGCAAGGAGGAGGGTAAGGAATGACCCTTGCAATGGCAAAGGCATTTGTGCCAACCTCAGGCTGAAAACGTTCTCAGCCCCTGCAGTTTATTTCGCAGAAACCTATCCCTGTGGTAACAGAGTTGTAAAGCTCTTCAGTCTAAAGAAAGCAGTCTGAGCACGAGAGGGGAACGTCAATCCATTGAAAAGGGTCCTTTGAGTGGGATTACTTGGGGAAATTTTAACAGCATTTCCTCAAAATTGAGCACCTTTTCTCTAGAGAAATGTTTAAATGCCTTGCTTGAGGGGTGCTGAGTGTTGTGGCATAGAGCGAGGAAGAGAATGGCACTATCCTATTTGGAGGGTCTGATTACTGAACCAAATAACCTTTCCGTTGCTTCTTCAAATGCTACTCCTTTTTGTAGGTTTGGCTTGCCCTTTGTATTGCATTTGGAAAAAACAATTGCTTGGGATATTCTGCAGAAGGAAATTTTGGAGAAGATGCAGTATTTCCTGCGGCCTACAGCCTGCATGCAGGTGAGGCAACTGACTTGTCTGCTTTGAGACTTCCAACTGTGTAACTTGAAATAAAATGGGAGTCAGTTACTTCAGGTGATAAATATGCTGCACATGCTGAACTGGTGCCTTCCCAGTATTTCTTTGTGCGTTAATGCCCAAGTCGGCCTCTTTGATGCTTTTGTTTGCTACTTGCTGAATGGTGCAGGTAAAATTAGACTGACAGGTGAAGAAACTACAGGCTTCTCTTCTTTTCTACCCCCAAGGAAGTATTTAAGAAGTCAGTGCTGCTCTCTGTACCTGAAATCGTGCAGTAAGTGCTTCTTGGCCCAAGAAAAATTGAAATACTTGCTCAGTGATTACGTGTTTCTGATGAGAACTCCAGCCAGGAGTGGAGAGTGAAGAAGGGGTGTCTTATCTAGTCACTGTAGAAGAGTTTTGGGGTACAAAACCTTAGCTGCTTGGTATATAGATGTTGTTACCAAGCATGGCGATGAGAACTCTTTGCTTATGTAAAACGCATACTCCAGGATAAACTCCTTATCAGTCTCTGCAGAGAACAGATCTACACATATGTGTAACTTGGGTTTGAGTTATTCAGTTACCTTGCACTGTCGTCTTTGCAGGTTTGCCCATTCAGCTTGCGAGTGGTCAGTGTTGTGGGCATAACATACTTGCTACCTCAGGAGGAGCGACCCTTGTGCCATCCAACAGTGGAAAGGCAAGTCTGGCCCTTGTTCCCAGGAGCAGAGAGAAAAGTAAAGACAGTTCTCTCTTTGCTGTATTTTTGCCCTATGCACTCCTTTTCTCCTTTTCAAACTTGATCTGGGGTGGCAGTGGAGGAAGAGTGAAGGGCTAAAAAGTTACACGTGCACGTGAAAGGTAACAAAGGCTTCAGATTCAAAGGTGTTCTAACTTCCTATCTGCCCCTCTCTCCAGGGCATTGAAGTCATGTGGACAGGGGGGAACTGCTCATGTGAAATTGGTGGTGGAATGGGACAAAGAAACTAAAGATTAGTAAGTATGGAATAGAAAGCCTTATACCGTGTTCCCTTCAAGGGAGCAATGCTTGCAAATAGCTTGGCACAATGTGCGTTGTTGACCTGGGCAGCAAACATAACACCCTTCAAGATCTCCATCCTTGGCTGTGCCCTAGTCACTGTCGGCAAAGACAGACTGGGGTTGTGTGAACTAGAGTTCCTTTAAATTGGAGTCCTTTTCTCTCTAGCCTGTATTTTGTATTGTGGAGCAGGTGTCTAAGCTGTGGCTTCCCATCTTCCTCCTGCATGTCCCTTCCCCTACAAATCATATTCATGTGAGACAATCTGGGGGCAGTGGATGGCTTTTTCTGGCTGATCCAGATGGAAAATTGAAGTGGGTGCCCACTGAAACTGTTTTCCGCTCCTGTGTTTAGTTATGTTGCTCTAGTGTGATCTCTTGCCAGTCAGCTCTGGCTCCCATGTGATGGGACAAATTGAGGAAATAACTGCTAATATTGCTTTTTACACTTTAATATTGTTTTTACTGTGTTGCTCATCTGCAACATGGGAGCAGGTGGCTGTGCTGGTAAATGTACTGTCTCTCTGATGCAGTTTGTTTGTGAATACGGAGGATGAGTATATTCCAGACTCTGAAAGCGTCCGCCAGCAGAGAGAGCTTCATCATCAACCTCAGACCTGCACTTTATCTCAGTGTTTCCAACTTTACACCAAAGAAGAACAGGTGGGAAGAAGACTGTAGAGCAGCGAAGAATCTGAAGGTTTAGCTTGTCCGTGTGCTGCCTGAATTCATGTACACAGCAGAGTAGCTATTGTCCTCTGCAAACACTGATTCATTGGGACAGGAGACTAAATTTGTAACGTGACGCTAGTTATCAGTCCTGTTAATAGAGTTTCTGTGCAGTGAGGAGAAAGCTGTGGGCTCTACTTTTTATATAAATACATATACATATATATATGTGCACACAAAATACCTTATATATATTTTTATATATAACATGTATAATTGTACGTTGTATGCATATACATATATGTGTGTATATAAAAATATATATAAAAGAACTTACTCTTCTGTTTTGCAGTTTCCTCCCTGTGAAATAGCAGCATGCTTTTTCAGGCATACATTACAAAGGACTTCATGGGAGTTGCTGTTCTGTCTTAGTTGGAACAGTTATGTGTTTCCAAGCCTGAGGCAGGATGGGAGGGGCTGAAGGCAGCTTGCATTGAAAGGGTGGATCCACTGAACTGCAGTGCAGTGTCCTCTGAACTCAAAGTTTCTCCAGAAGCATGGCCACTCTCTTCTAGCTCAGTTATTAGTGGGGAGGCTCCAGACTTCTTATATCACGTTGTACGTAGCTTCTAGAGAAGAACTTTGTTAATGTATCTTCAAATCAAAGTGAAGGGAGCTTAACACTGTATGGCCTCAGAGCAGCCTTTTCACACTTCCTGGAAGAGGATGCTCTGTGTCTGAGGAAGCTGAAGTGGCAGGGATGATAATGTGCCAGCAGGCAGACCAGAGATGTGTCTATTTAGCCTTGCCTAGAAAATGTAAGTGATCTATATTTCTTTGCCAGAGGCCTCTAATCCCCTGTAAAGAGGGATAGTCCCGGATATGGACTAAGGACCTATGATTGAGCTTTAATTTTTGGAGCCTCTCTGATCACTTTTTTCAGAGGTGAGGGAAAAGTTGTTTCACAGCTTACAGCCTCTCTGGCTTCTGAGTTTTTGAGCACTGGGCTGTTGATAGAACTTTGTGTCATGTTCGTGTCTTTGAAAAGATATTTCCCTTCTCCACCAAGGAGAACACCTCAGCAATTTGTAACTCTGGGCCAGTGGGCTGTAGGGAGAAAGAGCCCAGTTCCCAGAGAGCAGCAAGGTATCTAATATGAAATTCCAAGTAGACCTATGTTTTTTTTGTTACAATTCCTTCTTTGCTGCTGTGAATTTTCTTGTGAGTATACTTTTACTTGGCTACCAAGCCTGTCTGCTTTTTTGCCTTTGGTTTTCTTCCTCCCTCATTTCTAAGGGATTGGAGCGTTGCGCAGAGAAGCTATTTCCACCTTACAGCAACGCTGACTAAATTCTGTTATGCAGTGGGAAGTACCTCCTGCATGAGGCACATATGTCATTTTTGCTTATCGCTATTTTGAAAAGCATCACTGGTAACCCAGCACTTCCAGGGAGTTTATTGAATACTGGAGATAGGTGGGGTGTGTGTACAGTGTCTGTGCTGGGCCCGGGGCAGCAGAGGAGCAGTGAGAGCAAACAGCTGTGTTGGAATTTGGAAACTAATGGTGCTTTCTTGTAGCTTGCCCCAGATGATGCATGGCGCTGCCCACACTGCAAGCAGCTGCAGCAGGGTAGCATCACACTCAGCCTTTGGACCTTACCTGATGTTCTCATCATACATCTCAAAAGGTTTAGACAGGTAAGAAAAAAAGGTGGACAGCAGGAGAGGCTAAGGAGCATTGAAAATTGCTCTTCAAACAAGCCCTTTGAATAGGCAGTTGGCACTTTCATTCCAAGTTTACAGCACTGGAAGAGCGCCTAGATGGACAATCACGTTCAGCAAGCCTTAATGACTGCACTGAGTCAGGTACATAGATGACCTGTATTGTGTCTCCCGCTCTACTCAAAAGCACATGCCTAGTGAAGAATATCAAGGCAAGCATATATGACAATTCTCCTGAGTACAATTCCAGCTATCAATTGTTTGTGGCCCATAACCAGATATTCTTGATGAGTTTGTATTGATGCTGCAGCCTAGACTCGAGCTGCACTGCTTAGGTGCTTAACTTAAGTGCTTATGTTGTACTTGTTTGCCTTTGCCTCTCTCCCATCACTGGGGAGAGATGGGCACCTCTGAAGGCCAGTGCCTGTGCTTTAAACCTGGAGCTGGGCCCTGAAATTGTGGCTCTGCCACACGTATATTGGAAGCTTTGTGCAGCTCCCAACTGATGTTGCATCTGCTGCCTTCTGTAGTTGGTTTAAATAGCTGCTTTTGTATCTTCCTTTCATGTCTATTGTGAGAGCTTTTTTTGTCTAAGAATTTTGCTCTTTTTCCTATATCTGTGATGATGGAGGGACCACTTGTCAGTAAGAGAGTGATCCGACTATAGTATTTCTTCAGAAGCAGCTTTTCTGCCCTGTGCATTCCCCTATTTTTTTTCAAGCATGGTGGCCTATCTGCCACTGCAGCTTATGCTGTTCCCTGTTTACACAGGAAGGAGACCGAAGGATGAAACTTCAAAACATGGTTAAATTCCCCCTGAGTGGCTTGGACATGACTCCTCATGTGGTTAAACGCAGTCAGAGCAGCTGGAGTTTGCCATCTCATTGGTCGCCATGGAGGCGACCTTATGGTCTTGGAAGGGATCCTGAAGACTATATTTATGACCTGTACGCTGTTTGCAATCACCATGGCACCATGCAAGGCGGGCACTATACAGGCAAGTATTCTGCTGGTTTGCATATGGTAGATCTTTTCAGAAAGAACACAGTCCTATTTGCTGTTGAGTGTCTACAATTTCTTCCCCTTTTCTTGACAAAAGGACCTAACCTGGCTAACAAGAGCCTGGCTCATATAATTTGAAAGGTTGTTTTTTTTTTTTAATTTTTTTTATGATTTTGACTTTCGCTTATTGGGCTAAACAAGCATTGTTCCATTTCTCAAGTGTCTTACCTGACACCTTTTTTCTCCAGACATGTTAATAAGACCTGTCTTCTCTCTATGTGAGAATGCTGTGGTGACAGCCTTGCATGAGTGGGTGGGGAGTCTGTTGTGTCTGGTCACCCAAAGCAGTGATTCTGGGCATCTGCTTGTGAACAAGTTGCTCAGTCAGATCCTCAGAATGGGTTCTATATTAAATTAAAACGTGCAGGGGGTGGATCACAGGTATGTCCCATTTCTATTCCTCTCTGCTTTTCTTGAGATCAGTATGGCTTATTACATTACTCCCAAGAAAAAAATGATGTGCCTTGCCTGTTTCAAAATGCTCCTTCCTGC